GAACCCTCGCCGGTTGTGTTCGACAGCTGCAGCAAACGCCCTAGACATGCTTATGCGAAGAGTCGTTGGATGCCCGAGGATTGACTCGCCGTTGCATTTCGAATCCATTACTACCTGATGACCCTGACGACATGACGCTAGATCGCCGTCGAAGTGCCAAATGTAACCCCCCACACGAGCAGATCTGTCTGAGAATAGATTAAGAAGCACTTTGCAATGAATCTTCACGTGCTCGTATTGTCGTATCGTCGTATCGTCGTATCGCATGTTATTGTCTGCATCGTCAGCAAGTAATAAGGGGGTTCCATGTGCAATCGACATCTCAAATTCCATGGCAAAGTCTAGAACTTGACACATCGAAGTAGACGCGTAGACATATATCAGAGAGAGCTATAAGATCACGTTGCATCCCGAAGGGAACGTGATGGTCTAGGCGGTGGCCGCAGCAGCAGCATCGCCAGCTGCGTCCTGCGTCGGGCTTCTAGCTCAATAGGGGACCCATCAGTTCGTCTCACCCAACTATAAAACATTCTGTTAACGAAGATCTCCTTGTCTAGTCCTTCCCAGCTGCCAACAATGGAAATGATATGATAGGTGTAACGAGACATTGGGCTGGCTGAAGAAATCCACACAATGGTTGCGGCTAGCCAGAAAAGTCGCAGTACGTAGGATAGCCAATCAGCGGTTCGGGATGGGTGGTCGCGACTAGAGCGATGCGCGTTTCGACTTTCCTGGTATGTAAAGGATATGATCCAATTCCACCACAACGCAAACGCGTGCGGGAGTGGTCGTCGCGTCATTCCCACGCGCTTCACTCCGCACGCACACACGAGACGCCATCAAATATCCTATTGGGCACACATGTGATATCAATGATGAGATCTGATCCAAGGTAAACGCCAAGTTCGAATTGTCTGCAGACTGCAGTAGCTTACCCCGTCGATCCTTGGTGGCGTGGACAAACAATAGCATAGTTAACTCCGGGAAATCTGCACGATTTGATTTTTTATTTTTGTTTCCAAGGTTTAACCAAGTTTAGGGCTAGCCTTGTATTTCACCTCGTCGATGGTGATGTTGGGTTATTGGCCAACAAGAACTCGAGCGTTCCTGGAGTCAAATCTAAGCAATCCTTCTCCTTTGTACCGGTACCCTATCACGTTATGAGATGCCATCATGTCGTTCGGATTTAAGGGTTGCCAAGATGGAAAGACTTCCAACACGATGAGGAATGCGTCGAAGGAGCCTCGAAAACAAGATATATGTACGATGCAGTTGTAACCTCGATGCTCGAACGCCGCATACTAGGGTCCTGTCAACTTGACCAACATGCGATGATAATCACCTGTCACCTTTCTTCCAACAGAAATGAATCTCACGGATGCCCACATGAATAGTGACCACAGCGGTTGATGAATCTCAGACTAATACAACATGTCAATATCCGTATGCATGGCAATAGTCCGAGGATAAACCGTCACCTTCCATAAATGCTTAGTCACTTCGATACAGTAATAATACCCCTATAATACTGTGCTTTGTACTGTATTACTACATGGTATAGGTAGAGTTCCACTTTTTTATTCAGACGACATTTTATGATTTTGTGCCATTTTGTGTCAATTGTGCCAGCTTTTTACATACACGAGGCCAACATTTTTCCATACCGCCCGCTCGGACAACGAAGCAAAGCGGCAGAGCAACATCCTTTGGATCCATATTGCAACGGAAACTGCAGCTGGAAATTAAATCTTACCACCCGGGACCCACGTTGTCGGCGACGAGGATTCCTTTCTCAGTTCAGGAAATTTTTTAGGGGCGGCAGAGACGAGGTCCTAGCTGAAAAAATAAACCGGCTTTTTCGCAAATTGAATCCTCATCCTGGATTTTTACTGTCTCCTGGCGTAATTTCCGGTTCCTACCCGTCCACGTCAAATTAGTAAGTGACAAGATAAAAAAAAATGGATGCCGATATCAGAGCCGCCATCCCGGATATCGATCCGGTTGTCTCCGAGTACTCGGTAGGCTATCTCAGACATGCATCCACCGCCTGGGTTGGCGATGAGGAAGCCGCCGCACTGTCCCCGCTCGCTGAGGCGGCCGCTGCCATCACCGAGCTCTTGCTCTCGGCTTCGGGTGACGCAGCCGGTAAGAACCAGGACAAGATCCGTTCGCTTGTGTCGAAATGGGTAGACAAGTATGAAGAGGTCAACAGCACCAACGGTGAGAGACGGGGTCCGTCCGCCGTGAGGCGGCTCGACCAGGCCATCCAGGTCGGCTCCCAGCGGAACATGTCGTCGACTCTAGCCGTAGCTACCGGGAACGTCGACCTAGAGTCCGCCAACGCCCGCAAGGTAGAGTCCAAGGTCGACCGGAAGAAGCTCGAGAAGGCCGAGCGCAAGATCGCCGCCAAGCAGAGCAAGAAGCAGTTCAAGACAGTCGAGTACGAGGCGTCTAGACTGCTCAACCAGTCCGAGGATGCTCAGAGCTACGAGGAGTTCTACATGGCTGTCAACCCGCTGCAACTCGGCGCTACCGGCGCGGGCAAGACCAAGGATATCAAGATCGAGAACGTCGATGTCAGCATCGGCGGCACTCGCATCTTGATGGATACTGACTTGACCCTCGCTTATGGGCATCGTTACGGTCTTGTCGGTCACAACGGTGTAGGTAAATCTACGCTGCTCAGAGCGCTCTCGAGGCGAGAGTTGCCTATTCCCCCGCATATCTCTATTCTTCACGTCGAGCAAGAAATCAGCGGTGACGACACGTCTGCTTTACAGGCCGTCTTGGATGCCGATGTTTGGCGAAAGGTGTTACTCAGGGAGCAAACAGTACGTCCTCGCCGTTCCCCAAGTTTAACAAGTCTCGCTAATAATATTACTTCTAGGAAATCACAGCAAAGCTTGCCGAGATCGAAACTCAGCGAACGTCCATGGCCGATACTTCGGCAGATGCTGCCAAGTTAGACCATAACCGTGAGGCTCTCGACAATAAACTCGGAGAGGTCCAAGGGAAGTTGGCTGAGATGGAGTCGGACAAGGCCGAGTCCAGAGCGGCTAGTATCCTGGCTGGTCTCGGTTTCTCCCCTGAGCGCCAACAATTCGCTACCAAGACCTTCTCAGGAGGTTGGCGTATGCGTCTGGCTCTTGCCAGAGCCCTCTTCTGTGAACCTGATCTACTGCTTCTCGACGAACCGTCCAACATGTTGGATGTCCCGTCCATTGCTTTCCTTTCCAACTACCTGCTCACCTACCCGAGTACAGTCCTAGTAGTCTCTCACGACAGGGCGTTCCTGAACGAAGTCGCAACGGATATCATACACCAGCACTCGGAACGCCTCGACTACTACAGAGGCGCGAACTTCGAGTCCTTCTACGCTACAAGAGAAGAGCGCAAGAAGACGGCGAAGAGAGAATACGAAAACAACGTGGCACAGCGTGCCCACTTGCAAGCCTTCATCGACAAGTTCCGGTACAACGCCGGCAAAGCCGCCGAAGCGCAGTCGCGCATCAAGAAGCTCGAGCGCATGCCGATCCTCGAGCCGCCCGAGACGGAGTACAGCGTCAAGTTCAAGTTCCCGGAGGTGGAGAAGCTGTCGCCGCCGATCGTGCAGATGTCGGGGGTGACGTTCGGGTACACGGCGGAGCAGACGCTGCTCAAGGACGTGGACCTGGACGTGCAGCTGGACTCGCGGATCGGCATCGTGGGGCCCAACGGCGCGGGCAAGACCACCATCCTCAAGCTGCTCATCGGCAAGCTGTCGCCCGTCAAGGGCACCATGTCGCAGCACTCGCGCCTGCGCATCGGCTTCTTCGCCCAGCACCACGTCGACGCCCTCGACCTCACCGTGAGCGCCGTCAGCTTCATGAGCAAGATGTACCCCGGCCGCACCGACGAGGAGTACCGCCGCACCCTCGGCGCCTTCGGCATCACGGGTACTACCGGCCTCCAGAAGATGGAGTTCCTGTCCGGAGGCCAGAAGAGCCGTGTCGCGTTCGCGTGCCTGGCCCTCACCCAGCCGCACATCCTGGTCCTCGACGAGCCGTCCAATCATCTCGATATCGAGGCCATGGATGCCCTGTCCGAGGCGCTGAACGAGTTCCAGGGCGGCGTGCTCATGGTCAGTCACGACGTCACCATGCTGCAGACGGTGTGCAAGAGCCTGTGGGTCTGCGAGAATGGCACCGTGTGGAAGTTCCCCGGCGACGTGCAGGCGTACAAGAAGAGGATCGCGGCGCAGGCTGATGCTGCGGGTGTGGTTAAGGCGCATTAGGTTGGGCAGGGAGGGCTTGGTAGGATGTAGGAAAATGAATGACAGGTAGCTGTGAATGAGATATGATCAAGTGCTCGAACTATATTGATCAACTATCTACCTGCCTTAGCATGGGCATTTTATTTTGCTATCCGTACCGTTTATTGATTCTCTGTGCCTCGTGCTCTCACTGTAGACAAGTCGTAGAATACCTATCTTGGGATGAATCAAGGGGTTTAGAAAGGTTCCAATAGCTTAGAAGTACGACCATGGACGACAGGAGAAACATAAGATAGCCGGTCACTAGGTGAGCCTTCTAGTAGATTCCAAGTCGCTTTTCACGTTCTATCTCTTTCAGGTCCACCCGTAACCAATAAGTATATATCTACGATTGTATCCACCACGAACATTAAGGGGTGTGTATTTGCTATATTAATTCCCACAAACAAGTACTGTATCACAACGCTATGTTCTAAATATATACAGAAATAGATATGTCGCCAATTACTGTCCAGAATCAATCCCAACCTTTCTCCATTTTTCTTTTCTTCTAATAAATTATCTTAAATCCAGCGATTATATGAGCAAAATATACGTGATATCGACGACCTCTAATGAAACTACAGTCGTAGATCTCACAGCTTGCAAGTCCTTCGATACAAGTAAAGGCTGATGCTCGTGCTGGTCATAGAAGGTATATATCGATTATGACAGGTTTCTCAGAAAAGATGCCCGGCAATTGCAGGATGGTCCCGTGGTATAATGGCAACACATTCCAACATTACGCTATTCTTAGCAAACACATCAGAGGAGATGTCAATGATGGAAAGTTATGGGTTCGAACCCCATCAGGACCAGGCATGTTTCTTTTTCTTCTTTTTCTCGTTTCGAAAATACTACACGTTACAGTAGCAGACACTATCGATGAATGACGCCGTCACTTGGTCTGGACACAGACAGATCATAATCTACAATCGAGTTTTATCGACTCTTGTAGCCAACTTGAAGCTCCCTTCGCATATGTCCTGTTTAATCCCCAGCATGGGTCACAATCAAGACCTAGAGGAGATAGACCACGACTATTATCTCTTGTTATTAACTTCAAAAAGAGTCTTGTATATGTTGCTACTTCCCCGTTTCTAAAGGTCATGTGCTCGGTAGTGATTTTCAGATAATGAAGTGTGTTGGTTAGAACACTGTTGATGCGTACTTCTCTGCTTTTAACTTGCTGCAAAGAAAACTCTGTCGGTTATTGATAATTCAAGAATGGAGAGGGAAAATGTAATATGAAGGTAAAATGTATATGCAAGTAGGTGTTTGGGCCCAGGCGATTCCTGCCGGATGGGGGAGGGGGAAGGTGTTGAGATAGACCGTTATGCCAACCTACTCTCCGAGATTGGAGTCAGGCACAAAGTCCTGTATTTGTAATGTCTGGGTAGCTTCTCCCGTGCTGCAGTTTAAATTTTCGTTTGAACAAGAAATATCAAAGGGACCGGAGTTATCATTTAGTCATCTATGAGGTTCTAGACACTCATCGTTTGATCGTTCTTGACCCTGACGGCAACCATTTACATAACCTAAACATGGGACTAGTATGTTAGTATATGAATCAAATGATTCACGAAATATTGCCTTGAAAACCTGCGTGAGCCATGCTGTTCCTTAGGTTGCTAGGTATCTAGTACCTAAGTCGCCTCTGCTTTGAAGATGATCATAGACCAACCTCTGAGGAGCCGAAGTTCCTCTATTGCTTAATTCTGGTAGCACAGTGTATGGCAGTTAGATAGATTAGGTGACTAGCCGCAGCGAGGGATCTATGCATACAAGCTATGTCGGTAGTAGTAGCATACGTACGAAGGCAAGAAGCAAAATGAGTAATGTCATTTGAGAGATGTGGTCATGCTTATCTTCATAGGCAGGACCACGGAGACCAGACATTACTCACGATACAGATGGCGACACGGCTTGAGGAGGTTGAGATTTACGAGCCTGGTTTCATATCTCTGTAGCCTGTATATCTGTCTATTTGCCCCCTAATTCCTTGTGACATATCTCACCAATGCTTAGAATATCATATACGGCGCAGACACTTGCCTTGAGTCCTCACTTCATGAATACGAACCTGACTACGATGTACCCAGATCACGGCACAGTCATTCATCCGTCACCTAATTCCCACCAGGATTCGTAAGCCAGGCAGACGATGCGTCACCAAGAAACATCCCGCTAGAATATCAAGACACAGTTCCAAAGTCTTTCATCTACCTACCTACCTACCTAACCTAGGTTGACCGCCTATTTCTCTATATGCGGTGAACGTGTTTGCTACCCAACGCAACTAACTGACTCAGAAGACCCATCTCCTTAAACCTTACGACCACCGTGCCCGAGTTTAGAAGTTTAGGCACAAAGGAACACGTTGCCCAAAACCCAACAATAAAGGTGCACGCGAGAAATAGAGAAAGAAAGCAAAAAAAAAAAAGTTCAAACGCTCCGCGCCTCAGGGGCAGTGACTCAATGTGGTGGTGTGGTGGATGACTCACAGCGCGGTGCGTGAGCGAGCTGAATGGGCGGCGACATGCTCGTCCATGCAAAGCCTAATGCGAATGCCTAGCTGCGCTTTAAAAACTATATAACACGCATATCCATCCCAGTCCTGCAAAAAAATACCATTTTGCATCATCTTAGACCGAGTGGTCTACATAATTCCAGACACATACGAGCAAGGCCGCGAAGTCTTCAAACAGGTCCTAACCAACGATTGCAAGTCGCAAATCGCTGCAAGAGTAATGCATATACTCCTGTAAAACACATGGGAACATACAGCCCAAGACGAAAACCTACATATGATATATGCAGGTTGTCTGCAAGTGCGCGCGAAGCAAACCGATAGGCCAAACAACTGTGGAAACAAACACGTTACCAAACCGGAGCACAAGTGTGTATAAATCAAGGCAACTGTCCTACTTCCGCGAGACGTTACCTACGATCTACGGATGACCGAGATTCCTATCACCGAGACGAGATGGAACGAATTACTACGACATGCACGTGCGACGAGGCAGCTTCAAGACGATGATGACGAGGTTTTACCAACGCGTTGAATTGAATTGTTCCAACCCCTGAGAATCGAGATGGGGAGAAGTAACTAACTATACGAACATCAAACTAGGAAATCTCGATCAACGCCCAAGTTTTAGACCGACCCCAGATGCTAGGGTTGAGGAAAGATGCTGGAAAACTACACGAAAGAATTCTAATATATATCTCCACGCAGGCAGATGGCGTCATTATCTGGTTGCGCCGATAGCAACAGACTGGTACCACCGCCCGGGAACAGGATGATGGGCTGGCCCCCGTAAGGCCGCCCTCCAGTTCGGTCCATGCAACTAATATGCCATGATGTTACCAAATCAACCAGTTCCATTAAGAGCACGCTCCTTCCAATAATCACGTTCTTTCTCGAGGCCGGCTATTTTCTCCTCTAGCTCGTCGAATCGCTCTGCTTTGCGCTGCCGAGATTTACGAGCTGCCAAGGTATTGCGCGCTCGTTTCATGGCAACCGTGTCGTTGGGGTCGTCAATGATTATCGGAGGAAGAGGTTTGTCACGACGACGAGGGTTGACACCACCGACAGAAGAATGTCGGCCGTGGTTTCCAGAAGGCGGCGAGTTGCTAGACTTGCGACGAGACTGAGAAGTTGCTTTGGCTAACTCGAGCTCTTCCGACGGCTCTAGCGGAGATTGGTCAACAGCAGGAGGGTCGACGGCAGGAGCTGTCGACTCAGCTGTGCTGTTCTGCTCGGGGAACAAAGAAAACCATTTGTCACCGCCGCCGGAGCCGCTGTCAAAGTCATTGCTACCAAAGTTGGGAGAAACTTCGTAGTTGTCGTGGAACTCGGGAGATTCACCATACATTGACGGAGAGGTCAAGTTCGTGATAGCAGACGAGTTCGGTGCAGAGGCGAAAGAGTCGCGGATGAGCAAATCCTGGGGCGAGACGGTGCCCAAATTACTGACACTGGAGGCAGAGCTCACGTTCACGTCGTACCCCGGGACACCAGGAGAAGAGTAAGCCGTGGTGGCTCCTCCCTCGAAGGCCGTGAAGTCCTCGTAGCCAAGAGCGTCTAAATTAGGTGAGTTACGAGGATTACTAGAATCAGATTCGGATGAAGAATTACCTTGAAGATCCATCTTGGCTGTGTTTTGCTGATTGCCGATACCTTGGGTGAAAAGAGGTACTGGGGGACGAGCAGAACGATGTTGTTGCTGCTGGTTCGTCGCAGCGGGTGAGGATGAGCCAGGTAAGGGTGCGTAAAACTGCTGCAGGTTCTGGTTGCCGTGAGAATTGAACCGGTTGGTAAAAGCCGTAGAGGAAGAAGTCTGATGTCCTGTTGCCTGGATGATCTGTGCCACTCGCTGATTATGTATAGAAGGAGATGCTGAAGAAGAGTGGCTACGGTTGACGTTTAGAGATCCAAAGGCTGCTGCTGAAGAGGCAGGAGAGGACACAGCGCGGTTAACGTTCTGTCTCTGAGGCTGTGGTTGATCGAACAAGACGAAGTCTTGTTGTAGTGGCGGGAAGTTGTGTTGCGCGGATTGTGCCGGCTGGCTCGGGGAACTGGAGGGAAGCCATGTTGACTGTTGAGAATCCGTGGTGAAGACTGATAAGTCTTGGGCGGGAATGGTTGCGGTTGTGAAAGAACTCTGTCGAGAGCTTGGAATAGCTTCGTATAGGTTCAGATCTTCCTGGAAAGGGAGGTCTGAGAAGGGGGGTTGTTGAGTGGGGATTGTTTTTTTGTTAATGGACTGAATTTTGGCTATGGGCTACGGTGAGCACTTTAGAAAAGGGGAGAGAGACGCGAGGTCAAGTTTGCTTAGCGCATCTTGAATAATGGATGCCTTATTGTCTTATGATATGTGTGTTCTGTGATTGCATGAGGAGTATGTGAAAAAAAAGGAAAGGAGAAAAAGTCAAGATTCCGTGCCTGACGAGTGGGAAAAGTTAGACTTTAGTATTTTTTCAGGCAACAATCCCTAGCGGGGTACTCTTAGGTACTACCTGTAGGTTATTGCTGGAATGGCAGGCGCACACACTCGCACACTTTAGTGCGTTAGGCGTACGCGTGGGTGTATTCTGGGAGTCAAGGGTACCAAAGCGTTGCGGCTAGTTAGCGTTGACAGTCACTTGTTAACCACTAACAATTTGTTTGTCCGCCAACACTAGCCACATGTAGGGCAAGCTGGCTGATGAAACAGTTAGGCGAGGACCAACTTCCCTCGCTTGACGGAGTATGACTCACACTTTGACGACCCATAAATCTTTTCCGCACTAACAATCCCTGGCCCTTGTTTCTACATAGTAGGAACTAGCGCACAGCCTTCCTCCGTATCCCACTTTACGATATGCGAGGCAAGTACTTTCTGCGGCGCATTCCATACTGTACAATATATGGCTGCGACAGATATTCTATTACAAGAGCACAACAGTGCACGCTATGCAACTTGACTGCTTGAGATTCTGCACATATGTGCAATACTTTGCGAAAATTTCCGTTGCATTTTCGGTGATTGTTAAGCCATTGCGCTTAAAACCCGAATCTATGCAGGCTCACGTTTGGGGATAAAGGACAAAAAAATATTACTGAGGAACTCTTAAAGTACGACCGTTTCCAACTTCTGTTCCGTCTCAATCAAATCAAATCTCTTGCCAGCCTGCCGGTCTCTGGCGATGCACCTGCCAAGGCGCTAACTAAACAAGGGCTTATGGTGGATTACGAAATTACCTGTGTGCCTGCCAAACTCTGTATTGCGACGGGATGTAATTGGTTGAAGTCGGCGAGCTCAATGAGGAAAGT